AGCAATCTTCAGGAATCAAAATCCAATAAGGATGTTTGAAAGTAAACATATATTTGTTTATAGATTGCTTTTAATGCGTAAAAGGTTTCATCGACTTTCAGTCTGGTGATAATTAATATAAGATGGTATTTAGTAAAGCTACCAACACCTGAATACGATCTTTATTGGTTGGGTTTTGAAAGATCATCATATTTGAATAAATATTTAGCAAATTGAATGTGCGATAGACTTGCCTTCACGTGGTGCACCCTGGGCAACGTATACTTATACGGCAAAAAAGTCTATTAACTGGCAGTTGACTTCTCACTTCAAACTACCATCATCCCACTGTATGTCATATTCGACCACTTCCACAGTAATTATCTTACCTATTCTCTGCCTTTGAATCTGCCCGTCTCCTATAAATCTGTGAATCATTATTCTGTCCTCCTCTCGTCATTTTTATCACCTTGATGTTTCTCCATCTCTCTATGATGCCCGAAATCAACTAAAAGGCTGATAATAATTATCAAAATGCCTGTCATTTGAAATAAATCAAAATTAAGCAAAATATTGTTTTGTCTTCTCCATCTCTGCCACCTCATGACTGTTAGTCCATTGTGTAGGACAGTTTTACTTTAATAATCTTTTACATATCAAAGAATTGCAGTGGCAATACAATATCGTGATTTAATTATGAATGCCAAATTTGTTCGTGTTCATTTAGTAACTTAGCAGAAAAACATGTGATTTGAAATTAAAGATGGAAACTTCTCCATTAGTGAAGCTCATGCAAAATTATTGAAGTAAAACATTGAGATTTCGATGCCTCTTTATCATTTTTCGAACTTTCTTTTAAACGATTTAAATTGTTTCCCACATTCCAAAATGAAGCATTAATTATAGAACCAAGTCCTTTTTCAACATTTGTGTGCATTTTTTTGCAGTTATTACAATAATGCTAGGCATATAAGTTTTACCTTTTGGGTAGCTAATAAACATTTGAAAAAAATGGAATGAACTCAATTTAAAATGCAATAAAAATAAAAATGCTAAAAATGCAAATCGTTCCCTAGTTTTGACCTTTTGCTCCACTATATGTTGTGAATTGAGGCCTGTTTATTTTAAAATAGCTTTATTAATTTAAAGTCAGCCTTAAAATAAAATTTCATAATAATATTTTCCTTTTGAGAATCGCAGATTTTTAGGTCATTAAATAATTATCATTGTGCTTTGCATAGTTGAATAATTAGTGCCATTGATGATTGCTACGATAAACCTTTAAATGTCTTAGAAGCATAAATGAACAAATAATAGAATGCTGGGAAAATTTTGGCTCTTCGAATTAGCTGAATAATTTTTTGCCTAAAAGATTAGTTAGGAGCGCGGATAAATTGACGTGTAATTTGCATGTTGATATTAAAGGTTTGCAATTTCATTACTTATTACAACTTTTTCCAATCAATAAAAGTATAGATTTTTATAATGCTATTTTTTGTGTTAGTCCTATTCCCTAACATGTCAATCGTATCGGAAAAAATGCTAAGATTTTAAGCAATAATTGGAGTCCACACATTCTTTTTAATTAACCTGAACAAACTCACTGTATTTATATGCATGAACCTATTTTTATTTATTTTAAAGCTATTTTTGTATTTGAATTAGAAACTAGATATGCACTATTTTATGAGGTAAAAAATATGTGCAATTTACTTAAACATGATAAATCAATCGCACAAATCAGGCACAGATCCGTTGGGAGTTTGAGATAAATAGTGTCCAATATTCACGTGGCAGCTTTTTCTAAATTATTTTATAATATGAGATCAAATATTGCTTCTATAATAGACTGGGGGTGCACGATAGACTTACCTCCACGTTGGGCACCCTGGACAACGTATTTTCTTACGGCAAAAAAGTCTATCAATCGGCATACGTTTTTGACTTCGATTTATTATGATTAGCTTTAAAAAAGGCTATAAGAAAAATCGCCCTCGTCAGGGCGAATCACGATGTCTTCAGATCCTCCAGTGGAATGCTGGAGGAATGTCTCCGGACAAAAAGATCCAAGTACAGAAAATCCTACAAACCTATGATGTAGACATTTTCACAATTATGGAAGCTAACATTTCGGATGACAGACTGAAGTACTACCAATTCCCAGGTTACACCCTGTAAAATCTACCTAAATACCGGCAAGTTGCAAGTGAAATTCTAACTGGAGTTAAAGAAGGCCTCACCTCACACTACGATCTAATCAAGAGTATGGGCTCGACACAAGACAAATGTGAAATAATCAGATTAAATGTTTGGAAATGTCAAAACCAATTCAAGATATATGCTGTCTATAATCCACCCCAGAATTGTCCAAACTTTGATATTCTGAACATCTCACACAAAACTATAATATTAGGAGACTTCAACGCCCACTCCACCAGATTGGGCTACAAGGATACAAACATAGCTGGAAAGGAAATTGAAGACGTGCTAAACAGCAACCCTCTGGAACTTATTTACAGCAATGAGGATCCTGCTACATCTTTGCATTACAATGAAACCAGAACAACTCCTGATTTACTCTTGGCTTCAAGCGACATCAGCGAGCATACACATCGCAAAATAATTGCCGATCCTGGTTCTGGTCACAAACCAGTCATTGCTAGTATTACCCTCGGTAGCAAAATCATGACAAGGAAAGTGCCAACTAAGCTATCATGGAACTTCAAGAAGGCTGACTGGCCTAGATTCAAAAACCTTTTAGAGAATGAACTTCACATAAGTCCCCTCAACTTCAACCAACATCCTGACAAACTTTGCAATGATATCACGAATATTATGATCAGATGTGCGAAGAAAACTATTCCCCTAGGCAAGACTAAACACTATCGAGTGTTTTGGTCTAAACACCTTGAGGATCTGAAAAGAAAACAGAACGTCCTTCGCAACACTGCCGATCAGACTGGAAGAACCGAAGACGTACAAGCCTGGAGACGACAATCAGCTGTCCTAGGGCAGGCCATCTTACAAGCTAAACGAACTTCCTTCGACAAGTTCATCTCAAATATCAACTATCAAAGTGATAGCCAACGCACTTTCAAATTCCTGGGTAACCTGCAAACCNGTACAGACAGTCACGGGCATCAAGTGCTTACTTTACGCAGATGATCTGGTACTATGGTATTCCGCCCCTAAGAGAAACGCTCAGGAGAGGACAGAAAGTGCTCTTAATAGTGCACTTAAACTACTAGCAAACTGGTGTGACAACAATGGAATGGGAATCAACACTGCAAAAACTGCATTCCAAACTTTTTCTTTGACCCATCACAGCATAAACCCGCTTCTAAGGTACAAGGATACTACCATAGAAAAAACCAATGAGTTCACATATCTCGGAATGACGTTTGACACAAAGCTAAAGTGGAAAACTCACATTGCTAAAATAGCAGAACAATTCTCCAATAGACTGAATGTACTGTCTTGCTGGTAGCGTATGGGGCTGTGCGCGCTCAACTCTAAACACCACTTACAAGATGTTTATTCAGCCAATAATGTTGTATGGATGTGAGCCACTCATTACAGCCACAGAGGTGTCTCTCAAACCACTCGAGAAGGCACACAACCAAGCATTACGACTAATTACTGGAGGGATAAAATCAACACCCATTGATGCAATGCTCCTGGTTACAGGAAGCACCACAATAGGTTCCCTTATCAAAGAAAAGGCCTTGATCCTGTATGAAAAGCTACTGCGCGTTCCCATGGACAAGTTCTTCAGAATCTATGAGAATAGACCAAGACATCTGAAAACGCAATCTGGTCTAATACAGAAAGCCATAGAACTGAAGAACACATTACAAATTGATGACAAACCAAAAAGCCTCTCTCCCCCCATGAACCCATTAGCAGACATTGATGTAGTTGACACACTTGCTAAGAAGGAGACAACGATTTTGCAATGCATGGACCGGCCGATGTCTTTCCACACAATGAAGGCCTTAATCAGGAGAGAATTCCAGACCTCAAGGTGCGACAAAATTAAAGCTCGAACAAAGGAGAAACAGTGGACAGTGGCACTCTCCAACATACCCGACTGGCCAAGAATCGAAGCCGTTGCTGAGTTTAGACTACGTACCGGACACGATTGCTTGGCAAAACACCTTCACAGATTGGGAGTATACACTCAACCCACATGCCCCCTATGTAACCTACAGGAGGAAATGGAGAAGACCCACCTGATTCGGTGTCCAGCCCTAAAGACAAGTACGGAAAGCCAAAGATACTGGGAAGCAAGAAGACTGCTAATGAACTGCTATTAATTAACTGCTATAAATGTACCCCCCCTTCTTGGGGGAAGCTGAAGTCAAAGATTAAGGGCTAAAGATAAATATCATAAAGCCTGCCATTTGAAATAAAAAAAAATATATTGCTTCTACGAAGGAAATTCATTTGCTTTATTGAGTTAAATATGACTATGAGTTATATAATGTAAGGCATAAATATTACTTGAAAATTAGTGATGTCTCTTTGGAGATATTAAAAGCCACATGAGGTAATTGCTTTAAATAATCATTTATTCCTTTAGGATTTGTAATTTATTAAGTGGCGGAATAACACTTCAAATAAACTCCATTTTCACAAATCACACAATGTCACCCTTCACCAAAAGGTTGTTCTTAAAATTTCATGAAAAAAACATCTGGCTTGCGTTATTTCTGAAAAGAAAAGTTAATGAAATTTATTAATATAAATCTTTTAAAAATAACATTTTGAGACCTAATAACGGTAGTTAGGGAAATCTAAGTTCAAATATTTATTACGCTCAGTTTCCAAATTTAATGTAATAAAGCTTTCAACAATACGACTAAAAATTAATATAAGTAAATTTAGATAATTTCTACATACTTTCTTGAAGAGCAATAAGCAACATTTTTGCCCTAGCGATTTTACGAGTACACGGTTATAACTTTGTCGAAAATTTTTAACTTTTTTGATATTTATTTCTTTAGCAAGTTACAACTAACAGCATATTTCTATAATTTCTTTTAAAATAATATAAAATAAAATGATAAAATGAACGCTTATGGAAATTATTTGTCTTAACTGAGTGGCTTGTTTGCGGTATATATCGTGTCTTTTAATTAGCGAAGCAGATAAACATGTGTACTTGGTATAAATTAGGACCCAGATAGAGTGCATGAAGCAAAACACCAACCTCACTGACAATAGATGTAAGGTGAAAAGAATGTCAGATATTTTCAATCTAAGTTTATTTCCAGTGAAAATGTAAACGGCACACTTAAAATTAAAATATATGAAAATTATGAAGACGATCAAAATAAACAAGAAAAGTCAAATCTCTAAGAGCCTTAGTTAAATTAATTCCGAATTTGAAGTTTGCACAATATCCAAATAGAACGCATTCATGTCCTTTTATATATGGCTTAATAGGATATGCAATTGACTTACCTCCACGTGGTGCACCCTGGGCAACGTACACCCATAAGGCAAGTGAGTCAATTAACCGGCAGTTGACGTCTGACTTCAAAGTACCATCACCCACCCTATGTCATATTTGACCCCTTCCGCAGTACTCACCTCACCCTTTTCTCTATCTAACCCCAAGCAACATTTTTTTGAAAACTATACTTGAATTAGTTGTGTTTACTTAAAAATAGTATTTAATGCACCTCTATCGATATCCACCTGTATGGGTTTTACTTAAAACTATGACATACTACATGGCCTTCTCTAATATAATAAGAGAAATTTTGAAAATAAAGCCTACATTTTTTTAATTTTACATTGAATCAATTGGGGGTGTACGATAGACTTACCTCCACGTGGTGCACCCTGGGGAACGTATACTCATGCGGCAAAAAAGTATAAACCGGCAGCTGACTTCTGACTTCAAACTACCATGACCACACTATATGTCATATCCGACCCCTTCCACAGTACTCATCTTACCTTATTCTCTACCTTTGCATCTGTTTGTCTCTTTTACATCTGTGAATCGCTCTTCTCTTCCCCACCCCTCAACTTTCCGCTACTCTGATTAACCTTCCCTCTGTGAAGCCCGAAATCAGCTAAATGGCAAATGATAGCTATCAAAACGCCTGCCATTTGAAATAAATAAATACATTCATTCAATTGGAATTTCATAACAACTACATTTAGTTTTTGCAGAATCAAGAATAAATAACTATTGTCATATTTATTTTAATTGGTATTTTCCATGCAAAATAGTGAGGCGAAAATTTTATTTTATGGTGTGTCTAAGACCATTTTTCCTACTCAGTGTTAAGTGTAACTTTTATTGAGTTAACTGCTCTTTGCGCAAATATTCTTACTTTTTATTTTGAAATGAATTACTTTGCTTTTGGTGAAAGAGGATATATATTTGAAACTCGAACTTCACCAATTGCAGGCTTGAGGCACCCTAGCACCTTCAATGGGATTGTCATCTTCACCAAGCATTTTAAGGATTGACTATCTAAAAATATGCTAATTTTTAAATGCGAAATCTTAATGGATCATTTGAAATACAAACTTTGATCTTATACCAACATCTTAGGCCAACGCCTTTCAGTTCCATTTATCATAATAGTTCAATGTCAATAACATATGCTTTGGGGTCATTATTTCAACCAATTTGTACAATTTAAATAGATTTTATTGGAATGATCTTAAGCAGAACAAAATATCATTATTAATGATAAATAATTTAAATTTTAGTTATTAAAATCTCAAAATTATCAGTAAAAAGCCATTAGAATGTGACAAATATTGTAAACAACGGTTGGTATGGTTCCTATGAATTGTTGCACTATTTACCATGGCTCATAATAAAAAGATAATCAAGTAATAAATAATATTAGTAATTCAAAATTAACGTTGTTAAAAAGTATGTATGTGTTTATATTTAGCATATATGTATCCTATATAATAAAAAGTTTTTACAGTGATAGGTCACGGCAATTATTTTTCCGTTCGAATAAAAGACCCCTACTTTTAAATTTGAATTAGAAGCACTCAAATATAGTTTTCAAAATTTGTCAAATGGTTGTAAATAAATAGATAAAATTGTCATTGAAAGCAGCAATTCTTGTCACTTTTTCCCAATAACTTATTAATATACCCTTTGGATTCATTTTATTTGTTGCCAATAGCCATGATGAGAGGGATAACAAAACTTAAATGCAATTAGAATCACTGTAGTAATCATTTCGATTCCTGGATTGCTATTTGTGCAATTCTAAATTTCATTTCATTTTCAACTATCAAATTTTTTCTCTGACTTTGTTACATTAATATGAAGATATTCAAAGGGGGCCCATGTTTTCGCTCTTTTGGAAATCTTTCTTCAATTTGTATAATTTTGACGTATATTAAACACACATGACGATAAACAAATGCGTAAAAATTATTTAAAGATTTCATTTTAGGCGTATTTGAAGTGTGTAATTATTTCTCTGGATGCGGGGCTTAGAAAATTGCTCCCTAGCAAAAAATACACACAAGTCAAGTCTTAGTCAACGCCCATAAAGTCAAATTGTATAATTTTAGTTATTGTATCTTCTTTGCTTAATTATACACAGATTACTTACTCCAAAATAAATTTCAAAGCGGCGTATTCGGATTATATATATATAAGGATTATTTTGCAATTGCAGATATTTTTCTCCTTGAAGAATTTAAAATGATACAATTTTATGCGTGTGCACTAGATTGAGTCATATGCCACGTTAGTCAAGCAGGATGACATAAATTACAGTGATCATAGCTCTGCTGAAATGTATGATTGAAATTTTCACTCCTATTAAGGCCTTCAAAGACCTTCTGTCCTTTGATGGGGCAGCATATTAAAGTACCCTTTTTCGTCTCGCATAAATCTAAGCTCTGGAACGTACCTATAATTTATTAAATAGGGATCTTAATAAAACACGGTGTTAGCCAAATAATTAGGTATCAAAAATTATATCATTTTCATATGCCTTTTCAAAACGATTGACCTCATAAAACACATTCGACCGCACAAAATATATTTGAATTCGTCATCCAATTCTCCCTGCACATTATAGCTCACTGCATACTTTTGCACGAATGAAGCTAAAATATAAAACGATGGTTAAAACTGTTATAAGCAAATATTTCAGCCCTCAAGTGCAATATTAGTAAGCTAGGTTTTGTATAAAATGCTTCCTAACTTAAATATTTCAAAGAATTCGTTTGATATGTAATTAAAATTCAATCAAATATGGGAATTGTCACGCAATTCTATTACGAAAATTTGTAAAATTTTAGCCTTTCAAAGCCTATTAATAGGACATTATTTTGTTTGATTCATTACCACTTAAGAGGCATTAGGACAACTTCGTATTTCCAGAGGAATACTCACTTTTTTTGTGTTTATTAACAGATGAGGCATTCATTATGGCATTGATTTGAGGCTATTTTTAAGATGTAGTAATTTAATTATGGGTTTTAAATATTTTATGAACCATCTCAAGGTAGTTGAAGTAACGATTGGCAAGATTTAATTGACAATTACATTTTCTGCAGGTTACGCATGCATTGAAGTTAAGCCATTTCTTTTTAAAGCAAAAAATACCCTATTAATCGATCGCACACGACAGATTTAACGTTTTGCGAAATAAAATTGATATATGTTCAATGGCATTCAGTAATACTAACCTATTCACTTCATTTTTTTATTAAATTATTGTTTTCATTGCCAATATTAACGCTGGTATAATGAAGTTTATTTAGTCCAATTTTTACGCTATTTATACTAAAAGCACACACACCGGACAATGAAAGCACATGTTTTGTCATTGATCCTCTTAATGAGATTACAACACTACCTCCAATTAACGCTTGTTTTCATATTCCGCTCACGCGCGAATCTTTTAATAATTCGAATTTACACAAATAGAGGGATTAATTGGGGTTTTTAGTTAGTTTAGTCACAATAATCCAACCAGATCAAGGTTATCATTAGAAAAATGATTAAATTAGCTTATCTATAAATATTTGTAAGTATTTGTTTATATTGCTTCTAGATTACGGTAAGAAGAACTTAGCGTTAATTAATAATAGCTCATAGGCTAAGACTTCTTTGTTGAAACATAGAATCATTACACAGCACGGATAAGCGAGTGCATAATGCTAAGATCGGTCGTCCTTTGGCATTGAGAAAAGTTCCGAAAATGGTTCTAATTATCGTTTCTTCAATTATTATTTGATATACGATTCAAATTTTACTCTAGCTGATTTAACTTGCTAAAATAGGGGTGTACGGTAGACTTTCCTCCAAGTGGTACATCCTGGGCGAAAGCCTAAAACAGGCAGTTGACCTCTAACTTCAAGCTGCCATGACCCCACTGCATGTCATATTCGACCACCACAGTACTCATCTTAACTTCTCACTGTCTTTGTGTCTGTCTACCTCTTTTAAAGCTGTGAATCACTCTTCTGTACTCCACCCCTCGACTTGCTGCTACTTTGTCTTTTCCTTCCCTCTGCGAAGCTCGAAATCGGCTAAAGGACTGATGATAATTATCAAAAAGACTGCCATCTGATATAAATAAATAAAACCTTGATAAAATAATGTGAACTACTATCAATCCTGAGCTTCATTGTTACCTTGTATTAATTAAAGATTTGAGTTGTATTTTCTTCTTTTGAAATTGAACAAAACGCGTATTTTCTTTCTTTCAAAAATAAAAGATAAAAATGTTATCTTTAGATGAAATGAACTTTGTTCACCAAAATTCCACCCATATTAATCTTTCATGCTTGAATTTAGTAAGATCTAACAGATGGATCTGTAGAAATCTTAATTTTTTAAAAGAAAAATATTTTCAAAATACTGCTGAAGCTGTCCAGTTGATTTGGAACAAAGATTGCACGTGGCAGAAATCATCCCTCAATAGTACATTTGTTCAAACCGGTTCTATATTTACTGAATCACACACATGTTTAAAATACATAAATCAGCTTATTTCAAATTCTACACCAAGACCTTATTCTTTTTTGTGATTCTTCGTGCAGAAAATGCTTCATATATATAGTTACATTGCCATTCAAATTTTAATTAATAAAAACAGAGGGGCAATTTTAAAATTCTTTTATAAGCAGAATACTTCCTTATTCGCGTTAATAAATTCTGAAAAAAGCTCAACTCAAGTATAATTTCATATTTGCCAAAACGCTCATAAATGCCAGCCATTAATTATTCGCCTCGGCAATAGAGCGCATATTTTTAATTCTATATTTGACTTTAAAGCACATTTTAACTTCTGCCTAATCCCAGAAAGTATTTCATGAAATAAAAGAATCTACTTGACTAACTTACATTATTTGTTAAATTATTCATAAAATGAAGAAGGACGCTCAGATAAATTCAAGTAGAAATAAATTAATGCAACGCAGGGCTATTGTAGGTCATTCTGTTGTAGATGAAACGGCGAAATCCTATGAGTAGAATTTGAATTAGGAGGTGAGGAGGATATGAATTGAGGTCTCTCAAATATTTTTTTAATTTGATTTTCAGACCTTAGATTTTTAATAGTCTTTTTTCAATTAACCAAAATTAAAATTTAATATTTACTTCATGAGTTCTTGTTGCATTCTTTTTGCGAAGAGACTTTACACTTCAATTCATTCAATATTTTGATTGCCGAGGCATTAGTATGATCCAAGTGGTACTCACTTGGAAGTTTTCCGCAATATGGGATGTAAAATCTCTTCAAAATTGTCAAAGGCCAACTATACTTTAAAACAAAACCAATTTCAATTTATTTTAAAATTCGCCATAGATTATTAGGACAATTCTTTTGTGGTGTCAGTTTAAGACTTGTGTCATCACTTTATGCTTAATGTGTTAATGCTTGACAATATGTTCAACATTTTTGGCAAATGTTATTTAATTAAGTTGACAGTAAAAATTATGTTTTACGGTTTTTTTCCGCTGGGCTTCACTAATATTTACAGGAGTCAAGCTCGTTACTAATTCTTTACTGAAATAAAATTAGCATTATTGTCTAATTGGTGAACAGGGTAGTCTTTTTAATACATGCTACTTTCTCACAGAAGCAAAGCTAATAAAATCAGATGTCAAAAGAATACTCCTTTTTTTAATGAGAATATTGTTTAGCACTGTTTCTCGAAGAGTAGAGGAAGCACTTATAGTATTGTATTTTTCCTTTTTGAACATGATATTCATTTGGGTACTGAAAAGTTAAAAGAGAGGAAGAAATCAAATAAATTGAAAAAAAGGTGAATGTTTTACAACTATCAAAGGCCTCGCATTTGGTGAAAATCATGTGTTCATTATGATAGTTATTTCTGTCTTATGAAGTAAAATCGAAATTTGAAAAAAATTATTCACAAAAAGCTTTTGTTTAGAATATAGTGAAATTTATTTAAAATTAATACGGAATAATATTTTGGAACATTATCTGCCTTTGCTGTCATTGAAGAAAATCAATATGACCTTTTAATATAACCTTATTGTTCTAAAAATGTAATTTCAGTCAATAAAGAAGTAAACTCATTAATATTTATTCATTGAATTAAAATAACTGTTAATTCAGTAAATTCAATGAGCTCAAAGTTTACTATTTGCAATTTACGATGTACTAATGTAGAGGACATTGAAAATTGTGCATGATATCTTATTTTGAGTAATAGGTTTTACGTTATTATCCTCTATATACACATGATGGATTTTTTATAAATATGTTTTTTTCAAATATTTATTCTGGAAAGGTTTTGGAATACTCAATTTATCAGTCAGGTATTTTTGTTCGTTGATACGGGATTGAGTATTGCCAAAATAGTTTCAGTAATAAAATGTGCCAGTTTTATGGTTTTATGAAGTGGAACTTTTTGATAGAGAGCAAGTTGACTTACATCATATTTTTACATAAATAATTTAAACGAAAAATTAAAAATCGCAAACTCTAAAGTACAAATTCATTGGTCGCATCGAAATTGCCCAATTACCTGTGGGAATAATTATCTTATCGAATTATGCATACTTTAGCAATAGTTAAGTCCAGGAAAATTAAATTTGAGCTAATGAGATGGTTCAAAATGGTCGTTCTTCTTTTTTCTAAGTTTGGTGATGTGTGGGGCCTATTCTCTTGAACTTCCAAGCAATTTAACAATTCATTACGTATTTAATATTAAAAACTGTATTTATTATGGTCCCATTTACTAAATAAAGTCGGTTTTTAATAAAGTTCAACACTTCTATTAGGTAATAATTTACTGCTTTCATCACCCACCTTTTTGCTAGCTTGACGCGGTAAATCAAAATGAACGCTAGCTACATAGAAATAAAAATACAATTCTTAACGTGTGTACACAAACGGAAAAGATTGCACGATTTTATGTGGGATCAGTATGAAAGGCTGGGGTTAATGCGGTTTGGAACAATTTGAAGAAAATGGGCATGAAAGACATAATGAAGTTGGAACTTTGGAATGAAGCCGAGTTACTGAAATTGGAAGGGTCTAATGTCGTTTGAGAGTCACCATTTGTGTTAAATCCTGCAAAAAGCAAACGCCTGCTAATTTTATAGCCAAGGTAAATCAATTCAAATAACAAAAGACGTTATTATTGAATAAATTTCAATGTTATTTGAAGGTTATTAAGTATACCAAATACCTTCATCCTTGAGAAATTCCAAATAAGCAGAGTTGAGGTTCTTTGGCTTGACATCATCTAAGATTCAAGTGCCAAAATGTAAAAAAATGGTATGGAAAATCTTTGAATTTTTTTAAACTCCTTTGCTGTACAAATGAAAATTTTATCTCTTGGAATATAATTAAAATGATGCGGCTTATAATATTTGAACATACGTGTTGGAAATAAATGAAGATATATGATTTTTCTTTTTTTCTGTAATACAATGCAGCAAAATAGCTAATTTAATGCTTAATTAAAAAGTATTTTGTCAATATTTTGTTTTAATAGAAAGCTTAAAGAATTTATTCAGATCGATGTTACAAATGACAGTAAAACACCAAGTAACCCTTGTATCAATTTAACATTTTTCTAATATTTCCTATTGTTAGTATAATTCAGAAGAGAATTTTAAATTTTCAATATTTACTTTAAGCTTTAGCTTTCATGTTGAAACTGAATTAATGATTTAAAATGACATCATGATTGTTTTAAGTCATACAACTTCCTTAAATACTCCTACACAGAATACGCATTAATCATTTGAACAACATATACCAATTTACTGATGTGTTTGAAAGTTAGCACAAGTAAAACATTGATTTTATATGCACGAAATTATCTTAGCAAAATGAGTTTAGCGATAAGTAAGATTCGACATTCGCTAGGATAATTTAAGCCATTTAACAGTCTCCGTAAAGTGCTGCAATTTAAATACCACCTTAAACTGTGCAGCTTTTGAAATACGCCAATAGGTTTTTTTATTGGCAAATATATCTAAAGCGTCATTTGGTTTCTGTATAATTTGCTGGAGAGACGATGAAGTACATTCGCATCTGACTGAACAATTCACTACGGTGGCACAGGGGTGTGCGATAGACTTACCTTCACGTAGTGCACCCTGGGCAACGTACACTCATACGGCAAAAAGTCTATCAAAACGCCTGCCATTGGAAATAAATAGATATTCTTATTAGCACCAAAGAGTTCTGGAATAACTACTTTCATTCATATCATTTCTTCTCAGACTTATCGATATTTGTGGCCTCTCAGCATATATCAAGGAATATAATCAAGATGGCAGGAAATATTCTTTTTAAGAAACTGTATACATGGAAAAGTTCTTCTTAAATAAATTGGTGCACATATGCAATTAGGATTTTAATACTGTCAACTGCTAGTTTTAATTCAGAAACCATATTAGAACTAAAATACTCGGGCTAATACAAATGCTTTCATCAAGAATGCTTACCAGTAACATTGAGGAGAAATATCTTTTCAAGTAGTGTATCGGCATTGATTTGACAAGCATAAAATCCGGAATCAACTTCCCGAACATTGTCTATCACTAAAGTCCAGTCCTCATAGAAGCGTCTTCGTAGATAATACCGATGCTGCCGCGTTTCCAAACCCAAAGATAATTCCTGGTATTCACCGGCCTTCCACCACGAAATCTTGTTCGTAGTAAAATTAAACTCTTTAGAGGGCAAATCAATATCCATACAACTATCGTTCATTTATGCCATTTTTGAAAAGAATAAGCTTAAATAATAGTTAGTAAACGTGAATAGGTTAATGGTTTTAAGCTGGTAAGTAAATGGGTTGTTTTGCTATTACAATATTGTGAGCTTTTTCATTTTTGCCTTTTAACATAATTCACATAGTAGTAATTTAACAAGAATTGTAAAAGTCCTATATAATTCACAGTGCAAACACAAGCAAGCCACTCGAAAGGTATTTGTCTAGAAATGAATTAATTTTTCATTATTAATTTAGCCTTAATTTATTTTGGGTCAAACAATACTGCTTTTGTATTTTATATAATTTTAAATAGTAGTAATAATAATTCTCAGTTTTAGTATTAATGAAACACTTAGCACGAAAAAGAAACAACTTTAGTTAAAAAGGTTAATTTATATAGTTTCCAAAGCTACTGCATCAAAGCAAATTTTTCTTACAATATTCGGATTTTTAAAAGTTAGCATCTTTGCTTAGAAATGGCTCTATTTTATTATTAGAAAATATGGTTTGACATATCGAAGTTTTTCATTAAATCTATGCACGGTCTTAGGCCTTGGCGATTTTTGTAATCATTAAATCAATTACATAAACTTTGCAATTCGTAAAAATAGCTTCACCATGCTCTTAAAACCTTTTGAGTATAAAGTTCTTCTGGGTTCTTTCAAAATGTTTATATTAATAAAAATCGCTTATTTGCTATCAGCAAACACGTATTAATATTTGTGAAAAAAAATTCTTTTTTAAATTATGCGTCTGCTACTATAGTGCTTGTTCTATTTTTGAATATCCTTTAAATATATTTAAAATTATTGCGTGAAAATATTTTATAATGCAATATTTAATTTTATTTAAACGCTACTTGCAATTGATCTTGATTCAAAGTGACCATTAAATTTAACTATTCTTGTGTGCGGTTAAATTAATAGACAAGTCCATAAATTAACGGAATAATTTCAAAAATAACAATGCAAGGCTTTGCAGTAACGCCGCCTAACATATTAATAAATTTGCTATAATGACCAATATAAGCCTTTATATTAGGCACAAGCGAGCAATTTGAGTATCTATGATCCTTTGTAAATTTGATTTAAATTTTATTTTCGGGTTTTGATATAAAATTCAACAATAAAATATGTTGCAATAAATGCTAGAATAAATTTATATTTTTTCAATAAATGAATTGGTAAAATTAATATTTTCATTCCAATGGAGCTTGTTATTTTGCAAAATTGGATATCCAAAATGATATCTTTTTTTACAAATTCATCTCTTGTTTAAATTTTATAATTTGAATCACAATAAATAACAGATGATAAGTGTGATTCCAATAAAATGTACTTAAAATGGGAAGTAAAAGGAGCGAAATAGTGCTCTCTTGTTAGAGGTTATTGTCAGAGAAACACAGAATGACAGTTTACCAACCACAATTTTTATAAATGCTATAATGCCACAATTCATAGAACAGCTAAAAGCTTTAAACGTTGTATAAGCATATCATCAAGAAATTGTTGATCAAATTATGAAATTCAATGATTAAAGTAAAATATGTAAGCATAAAATGAAAATCTAGTCCACGAACTTCCCCCATTTCTGAATTCACTTAGTCTTAACCTTCTCGGTTTCTTAAATTATCGGTTGCTTGAATTAAACTACTTTCATTGAGCAAAATCAGTAAGGAATCGCCAAGTCAAGTAGAAGATATCGCAGTAAAAGAGTGCGGATTAATGTTAAAGTAGGATTTGTTTCGTAGATATTTCCAATTCTATCAAGTAAACTTCATTTATTTGAAATGTCAAAGTGAAATTCTTTACCAAATAAAACAATCAATTTTAAGAATTGATTTGTAATTAGGCCTTAAGGGGAAGAACTTTGGTGGATAAAGTAATCGAAATTTTCCAAAAGGGTAATACGTTAGTAATAATAAATTCTTAAACAGAAAATTTTGATATCATTTTTTTTACTATTTTGATGTTTTATATAATTCAAAAATAGAATAATATTATTGGCAGAATTCAAATGAAATTTCCCAAGATTACTCAGTTAAAAAACTGTAAAGTTGAAGGAGCTAAGCAGAAAAGTGTTTAAATTCATTTGATTTTTAACTGTGAATTTTTAAAAAAATAAAGTAGTTTGGCAGTTCCCATTCCAACTTTCAAATTTCATAAATTGTTTTCTTCAATCATAAGAAATGCTTGCTAAAAATTTCCAATGTTTACAGACCCATTTTCAACACAATGACTGGTCATTTCACCAAAAATTATTTTTTTAAAAATGATTCCAAATATTTTGGATTAGAATTTGCTGCCAAGAACGTATGTTACATAGTTTTATAACGGAAAATCAACATTTAAAGCAAATAGTTAAAATTTTTATTTAAAGCGAAAATGCGACCGTTCGAATTGTATGGTTGTGCTTGTATCAAGTTAATTTGGCGGTGTAATAATAAGCTATTTATCTAATAACAAGATCTCAAAATTATGCAAACACTTTTGCTGCCCTCCATGAATTTAATATATAAATATATATATTTAATATGGAAACTTTATTGCATTAAAAGCCACACTGGATGAAATTAATCTACGTATTTTTTAAAAGCAAGCAATAAATATGCAAATTGATAGAACATACCACAACGTCATTGACATTAATTCCATAAACCAGACACGGAAGCTCTGCTTTTTCTCCAACTTTTGCGTGAATTTTGGTATTTACATCGGCGAAAAAGAAATGCCGTTTACTAACTTTTGTAGAGGTGTCATGGTTAAAATCCGACTTATTTAAATCTCTTGGCTGCAGTATATAAGGCCGCAGATTGGAGTCAGTGGAATTAGCTGTGTTTGTTAAAGACGTAGATACCAATAACAGTAGACAAAAGAGGGTAAACCAAGGTTTAGACGCAATTATATGGGAAAACATTGTCGTTGCGACATCTGTAGGCTACGTTCTTTCACATTTACATCCAATAATAATTCACTAAAATGCGAATTGGTGACGATTAGATTGAGGCATTCATCTCATCCACTTATTATTTCCCTTGAATGCAAGGCAATAAGTAAATCAAATTGATCGATAAATTAAAAAGAATATGTTTATGTGCCATTTCATTAACATTTAAAATAATGGCAATAAAATTTAATAATGGTAATGAATTAAAGTATTAATTGTTAAGAACCCTTGTTAATATATAATGAATTTTATCATCTTTTCCTTACTCTGTCGAAGTTTAAAATAACGTTTCAGGATTATTGACAAGACAAAACAAGTGATATTTGGCGATTATGCTTGTCAGTATAACTGGTGTTCCACTATTGGTTAATTCGAGTAACCAATCATATTAATCCGGTTATTTTATTAAACATTCGCCCGCGCAAGAACCAGAATTATTACAACATTCACGAAAATATTTTCTGAATGTTAGATAAAATTGACTTTATTAAAAATAATTGAGTTTTACATTTAAATTCGTATTTTCTTTATGTTTTTTTAAATACTAAATTGGTTTGAGCATTTCTGAAGAAACTTAATATGTGCACACAACTTAGAATTGTTGAAACGCTCCAAAAGTCTTTAAATAAATCATATTTATCTCCCTAAAACGAATATTTTATAATTCTCGTGCATAAAATGATTTTGGATTTTACTCCCATTAACTGGTAACATAATTATAAAATAAACTTTTTTGGCCCTTGTTAATGTACCCGTTAGTTTCCATTTTATAATGTCAGACTTTGTCATGTGTAAATATGTAGTGGGCATATAAATTTGTTAATTTCATTTATATTTGTTTCTATGCTTCGCTCACGCCCTTGAATATCTTGGGCGAAAAAAATAAGATTCATCTGGAATACTTTTGAAATTTCACCTATTGAAAGTTTTTCTAAGAAATCATTATAAAAGATCAACTACTTGGAATAGATTTACCAGTACCGATTTAATAAATTATTTATGATTATCGAGAATTTTAGATATACTGGTAAAAGCATGAAGATAGAAATCACTATTAAAATGTACCATAGTATCATTTTTACATCTAAGATATGCTTCGTAAGGTCTTTTTAATTATTAAAATAACTCTATAACAACTGGGTTTATAAGATTCAACCCGTATATTTTAAAACTTTTCATATGTTATTATCTCGTTTAGGTAGTAGTAATAAAAGTAACATTTGATTGAAGACTAATGATGTCTTTACAGTTTGACGGAATATTAACGGGTTCTATGGCAATTCTATCGTTTTCAATCTCAAGTGGGCTGTAAGTCGGTGTTGCGCAGTGAGCTCAGAATATAATTATCTCAGAAAGGAATTTTAGAGATCAGATTTTGGCATTACCTCACATATAGCACTTTTGATTTTGAAAGCCATAAACAAAACATAACTTCATAATTTTATTATAATATGATTTGATTTTTTTAATTTTTTTTATTATTTTCCATTATTGTGCTAGTTTCAGTTTTATGATTGGTTTCTGTTTCAATTTTTATGGTGAATTGTCTAAAGCTGATGTTCTAGGTTTGGTAATAAAATATATCAATTTTAGCATCATTAGTCGCAACCAAATTAGTAAACCAACATTTAGAAATTATGATTGATTTACAAATGAGACCAATTGATCGCTTAGCATCTGAGCTAAATTTGTAAAGCAGAAGTAAATATATGCTAATAATATATTTAACATGCCTGAAAAATTTCTAATAGTTACAAATTAAATCTTGTTGAGCTATCTTTAGAATAAATAAAAATTTATCAAACCTCAAGAGCTGAACAAAGAAAAAATGAGGAATTGAAAAAATATTTTGAAGCAAATATGAAATTTGTAACTCGAACCAACTGAACGAGACCTTGTTTGATTACGACCAGTAATGAAATTGAATAATTTAAATTTAAAGTTTAAAGTTTGTTTGATTAATTTGAATTAATCACAAATTTTGTTTTGAGCTACGTTAAAGCTTCTGATTCGCAAACACCTTTTGGTGCTTAAA